GGCTCATTAACTTCAAGTTTTATGCAAAATATATTGTCTTTTAGCCAGTGACCATGTAACACACTTATCTAATGCCCTATCAATGAATACTGGTCCTCACTTCTAACTACCTTGACGGTATATCCATTCTCTAAATATTGTCAACGGAAAGTCGACTAATTCTATACGGCATATTGGATTAACTATGAACTTTTTAATCTGACTCCTAACTAACTGTCTATAGGTTCTTTAAAAATTTCCTCATATGGTCCTGTTTCGATATGCTCATTGACTTTTTATTCAGTAAACCGCCTTATCCATAACTACTATCAAGTTTTCCCAGTCAAATTTGCCAATTACTATACTATTGTCATTTCTTGAATTTCTCAGAGCTATTTCTCTGCTCCTGTTAAGTTGCTCCTCCATTTCTTTTGATGTTTCAGTGTCAGTGCACATTGTGTACACTACCTGATCGGTAGTTGTTTGATCTATTGAGCTTAATGTCACTCCTATGCTGATTATAACATCTTCAGGTCTGGATAGAGCTACTCAAACGTTGAAGTTTATTCCTTTCTCGAGAACTTTTACTTCAGTTAAGCTTAATTCTCTACCTCAGAGATTGATCACCCACTTTGTAAAATTGATAGTTAGTGTTGTCTCATTTGTAGTTTTACTCTTCTTTGTGCGTTTATCATCTTCTATTAGTTTGTTGAACTTTTTAATTTGAGTCTTTCTAGATTTATTCAAAGCAGTTGATTTGGCTTTATTGAATGCTCCAACCAAAAGCTCATAGTCTCTACATATAAATGAAAGTCGATTAAATCTCACTACTTTTATTGATATTATTATTACTATTTGTCCCTTGGGTCCCTAGTGGAACATAGGGATTCAGTAGCACGTCTCCATTGCACTCTCTTCTCTGTAGTCTTCTAAACCTGGCTTCACGACTGGCTAGAAGCTTTCATTTCTTCCTAACACGACCTCCTCTATGTTACCCTGAGCTCACACGCTGCACTTTGCTTCCCATTTGGATTCCACTCGAAGGCCTGGCGCGGGATGTTCCTAAATGATTTTCTTAGTGTATGCCCAATCCATCTCCACTTTTTTCTGCATATTTGTTGGGTGATAGGTTATTGCTACGTTGGTTCGTTGCAGGGCAAGTCAGAGTTCCTCCTTCCTTATTCTTATTATTCTGGCCATCTGATCTCTATCTTCAGTATCGAGTGAGTGTAGACTTCAGCTGTTGTTGTATGTCTGTAGTTCGTTGGAAATGCTTTTCGTAACGCGCCAAGTCTCTCAACCATCACATAGAAGCACTGACTTGACTGACTTAGTGTTGAGTGAGTGAGTGAGTGTAGTAGATCTCCACACTGATTTCAGATCAATGAAGGCCTGTCTTGATTTTCCGATCCTGGCCTTGATATCGTCATCTATGCCACCACCTGTAGTTAAAAAGATGTTGTTGGTTGGGTATCTTCATCAACTCTGCCTTCTCTACGTTCACCTGAAGGAAGTCCTATCTTCCTTCGCTGCCCTGCCCCTTCTGCCAATTTGTTAGTATTCGCCTGTAGATCCACGAGTTTGTGCGACAAGACATTAGACATTAATCATCATCATCGGCGGCGAAATCCTAATCCTCTAGGATCTTATCCGTCCAGCTCATGCCCCTCTTCTCACTCCTCACGGTTTGCTGCATCATCCAATCTAGTCGAAAACAATCACGGTCATGGATGATAGTAGACGGCAGCCTTCTTACTGCTGTCGTCACTTCACTTCAGAGGCGTCAATGAGCTTCTCATAGTGAATCACTTGGCATGTAACATCACTATATAGCATATAGCTGCTGTTGAATGAGGTTGATAAAGGTTTGTGGCACTCACTCCGTAGTGTTGAAGCAGCTGCCTGCCAAATTACCCCCGGTCGATGCTATAGAAGGCCTTTCCAGAGTCGATGAAGTTGAGGTAGAGAGTTGACTGCCATTCTATACTCTGTTCTATGATGATGCAAAGTGTTGCAATTCGGTCCGCACATGATTTGTACCTCCTGAATCTAGCCAGCCTGTTCAGCTCGTAGTTTTGAATCTAGCGCTTCCTCTAGTCTCTTCAGGATGATGCGGCATAATATTTTGCTTGCTTTGGGTGGACAGGGACGGAGCATGATTCCTAGCCAGTTCTTACAAAATCTTAGGTCTCCCTTCTTTGGAAGTTTGACAAGCTAGCCCTTCTTCCAATCGAAAAGTACATTTCCTTCCTTCCAAACCTTCTGCAATGGAAGTGGTGTGAGCATGTCCGCTGTTGTTTCTGCGTCTGTTTTCAGTGCTTTTGGAGAAATTCCATCTGGTCCTGCTTTTTTCCCGGCTTTCTGCAACTTTAGGGCGTTCAGGACCTCACCTTTGCTTTTCTCGGACGGCTGGTGTTCACTGGTAGTTCTGTGGATGGGCTGCAGGTGGTATTTCTGGATGAGTTGCAGGTGGTGGTGGTGAATCCAAGAGTTTTTTGAAGTTGTTGGCCCATCGTTCCCTTTCTTTCTCCTTTCTCCTTGCTAACTAAGTTTCCTTCACTGTCTTTCATTAGTTTCATATTTGCTGTGTTGATCTCTTTCCTCCCAGATAGTAACCTTGTTATTTGATATAGTGTTGTCAGGTCTCTCCTACCAACAGCCTGTTCTGCTTCACTTGCCAGTGTGTCGTGGAAGTGTCTTTTGTCTCTGTGTGCACCCTTCCTCACTTCTTTGTCCAGTTTAGTGTTTCATAGGTTGTGTTCTGTTACTCTTTTCATTGCTCATCTCTCCACTGCACTCCACTGGTTCATCTTCTGCTTCACCATTTTTCTCTCCCTCCTCTATCAGCTTCCATGCGTCCGTCGAGATTCATTCCTTGTCTTGCCGCTTCTTCTTCCAATACGGTTATGCAGGTTTCTTTCCACATAGCTTTCAAAGGGTTCCAGTGTCCTTCCACGGAGGTTTCTACAGGGATGTTGCTCAATATCTCCCATTCCATCCTGATGACTGACTGATGTGAAGATGCCACTTGTAGTTTCGTCCTTCAGTTCAGTTTCTGTTCCGGGTGTTCAACTTCAACTGTGGTCTATCACCAGCTTCTTTGAAGGATTTCAACTTGATTTGGAAGGTTCCTTGCACCAGCTAGTGAGTGGTCTGAATCTGCATCTGCTCCTCTTCTTGATCTGATCTTGTATTCAGTAGGCTGCATCTCCACTTTCTTCACATTGAGATGAATTCGATCTGATTTTTAGTGTTGTGTGTTCATCTGGTGTCTGGTGAAATCCATGTCACTTTGTGAATATCCTTGTGTTTGTACACACTGCCTCGCCTCCAATCACCGAATCGTTGAATGCGCAGAAATCTGCAAACAGTTCTCCATTCTCGTTCATTTCATCAAGCGCTTCTCGACCCATGGTTAGTTCTCGTCCTGTGTTGTCCACTCTTAGCAGTTTGGCACTCATGTCATCCCACCCATTCGAATTTTGATGTCACCATTTAGGGTGTGGTCTTGTCCAATAATGATTGCAGTTGTCTGAAGAATTCCTCCTTCTTCTCTTCATCTGCATTATTTGTGGGTGCATAGCGTAGGATTGTATGATCGTGACCTTCCTTCCTTTTGAGTTTAATCTGGCTGTCATGATCCTGATCGTGGACGGTATTGGTTCCCACTGCATGAGGCCCTTCGATGCTGTTGGGGACATCATGATAGTCACTCCCAAACTCAGTATGCTCGTGGTTGTCGTTCGAGTGACAATATCGGAGTAGATTATTGACTCTGCAGTTGACAGTTTGGAGAGTCCACTTCCATTCCATCTGCATTTACAGATTCCTAGCACTTCTATGCCATACATTCTCATCTCTTCTTCAATCTGGGCAGCCGTGCTAGGTTCAAACATTGTTCAGACATTCCATGTCCCCATGTTTACTTTCTGTGTCATCGAGAGAAGAGGAGACGCATCAGCCCACTGGCTTCACGAAGTCTTTCACGAACCAGCGTCCTTTCGCCTCTCCGATTCCGCTGAGGAATAAGTTCGTTTTTATTTTTTATACTTCATCTAGTTTTGAAGTTTCTGTAGCGGTTGGATTGGTTTTGCGGGGTAGGGTTGCTAGCCCTATGCCCAACTTCCCCTCCTTATCCTGGCTTAGGACGTGTTAGTAACTAGTCAACTAGTTACCTTTATTCACTACTTAAGTAATATAACCTAGAAACCTTTTGTCAGTATAACATGTAGTGCCTGTATGCATACGTTTGTGTGTTATATCTTTTCGAATCCCTTTGGAACCAAAAACAAGGATTTTCATTGGACCGTGGATTAGTCTATCACAACAGGCTTTTTCATTAGAACATAACGTGCATGTGTGAATATGTTCATGTGTGTGTGTGTATGTATGTATGTTAGTGCCGCAGTATTTGCAGAATTGGCCATTATGCACATGTTAACAAAAAATATTATCCAGTAATTTTAATTGTATACGCTGAGACAAGACTTGATTATGTCATTGGTAAATCACCCAATTATTCGGTTTTATTGTAAGAAAATCCCAAGAGAAGACGAGATACCCTTTTCCCATGAAAATCGATTCTTCATTTATAAACAGTAATGGATTTGCTTACTTTTTTCTTCCCTATTATCAAACATTAATCTTCAGGGGAAAGAGAACGAAATCTCAACCAACTAAATGAGTCATATATGTAGGTGAATAGAATAGGAAACGATTCACCAATGATTCATCCGCACACCTGCTTGCACACAAGCATATATACACACACACATTTCAAACTATATCTGTTATGGTTAGCACAATGAATGTATGTTTAACCTATAAAAGGTCAAAATCGTTTGTAATGACCTCGTAATAATGTCAGGCGTTGATTGGGTTAAGTCTTGCCTCACCCCTCCTCTATGCTGACATGTTTTATGTATATAACTGATTGTGTTCCTACCATTCTTCAATTCTCACAAGAATACTTATAAAACATGAACGTAAATATTCCTTATTTTGTATTTAATGTTCAATAGAGTTTTGGAAATCAATCAATAACTGGAATATTGACTCATTTAAATTACATCGACAGCGGCAACTTTATAATTCCAAACTTTCAAATTGTGATAATTCAATGAAAGCATCAATGTTATTAAATCAAAAAGATGGAACAACGGTCGTTGAGCCCCCATTATCATCACAACAGCAAGAACGCTGGAGACAAATGAATATTAATAATAATAATGATAATAATATGAATAATAATGGAGACTGTAAGTCAGTAACACATGTCCGTCCACGAGCAAGTTCATTAAACAATCGTTCAACTCAAAAGCAACAGAATGAATATAAATTTAAACAAAAGGATATTGAAAACATTGAAAAGTTTACTCGGTGTAATAATACTAATAATGCTAATGCCAATAATAATAATAATAGACTGAATCATACAAACATCTTGTTAGAAACTATGAAGCAAAGATTAGATCATCGGAATAATTACGTTCATAATAAAACATTATTTACAGGCAATCCAGGACAAAATGTTACAACTACCGCCAATACATCAACTACTATTACAACTACTCATCAGAAGATATCACCTTTAAATAAACTCAGGGCTAATGAATCAGTAGAATCAACACATCAAATTAATCAAAATAGAAGTCATCAAAATGGGGTAAGTTTATAAAAGACTACGGATAGAGAGAGAGAGAGATTAAATTATTGATTACCTATCATTATCGTGTTTCTTTCTCAGCTTTATAGGGGTGGAGGACATGCTATTTGACTTCTTTCAAGTGAATAAGACAACGTATCACTTTTCAGTTAAGAAGATCAGGTTTAGGATGACATTAATGGGTAGGTTTGCGCAGCTGAGAACAGTTTTTGCGAAAAATGGTAATATTTCTTAAGACTTCATCATAAGGTTCCTGATAAGATGGGCAACAAGTAAGAATCAAAAAGTATTGGTCAACTGTTGCCTCATTGTTTCAAAAACCCTATTAATGTGCACTAACCTATTCAAACGAGAATGTGACATAAAATATAGGTTGGTTGCAGTCTGAATAGCTCAGTCGTAATGTCTGTGACCACAGCATTGTGTGACACCGGTTCGCTTCTCTGACCAATTCCATGAGGTTGCGAGTACGGCTTGCTGATGAGTCCAAACAAGCACGAAACGTAGGCAAAGCAGAGGATCCTGACGATTTTCCAACTAGCATACGAACTTCATGTTTTGAATGGAGTAAAGCACATGACGAATTGAAAACATTCAGAATTGCAATTCTGTCAGTTTGGCCTGAAAAAAGACTGACTGCACACTTCACCTTTGGGAAGTTCCAAAGTAGGACAAAAAACCAGTTGTTTACGGCTTCCTATTATCTGACATTAATCAGTGATAAAAACTGCTATGAAATAAGTCAACTTCTTATAAAAGGGTTAACTTGGCGGGTAGCAGTAGGATCCAGGACGCATATTTCGTTCTCCTTTGGACTCGTAATGTAGATGTTCTTTCACCCCAGTGAGTGACAATGCTCTCACTCCATTCTTGCTCTATTTTATTGAGTGGAGCATAGATTACTTTCAGTCAGTGGGTCACTTGTTCGAATTGGCTACGGCCTGCTTACGTTTTAGGAGTCAACTAGTACCATCAGTTCTCATGAAATAGATATGATTAAAAGTTTACTACATGAGATTATAAATAGCTAATGGCTTAAATCAGAAGTAGGAAATATGGAGCAATGAATTCCGACCCAGTGGCTTAATCGTAACGAGCTGGACGGGGAACCTGGGGGTTCTAGGTTCGAGCCCTAGAGGGTTAGGTCGTGGGTGCTCACTTCTGATTAGTCCCATACTGGTTGAACGATACAACCGTGCAGTGCTTTGAAGTTTCCAGTGTTTCTCCAACTGTTTCCAGTCCATATTGAATTCTAACCTAAAATTACTTACTTTAATATTATGATCTTTTGCTTGATAAAAAGTAAGTGGTTGAGATTTTCTTGAAGATGTCCGAATTAATCGAGCTTTGAGTAGCTGATATAATGAGATCACTAAACTCTATTGCCTCTGTTGTTTGATGTTTATTGCAATGAATGAATTCTAAAACTTCTACGATAACTCTTAAGCATTACGCTGACTATTTAACTCCAGCAAATCTCAGTTGAAAAAGTCTGTAGATGACATCACTTACAATCGATGAAAACCTTGTACTCAGTTTCACTGTCTTCGAAATCTACACCTATTATCCCCTTTCACCTTTCTCTGTAACCCTGAGTGTTATAGCATCTTGTCATTTCCACTGATCTTTACTGTGGCGCATCGCTTCGAGGCATAACAACTTGAATAGATGGTCTTTTGTTCAAGGTTCCAGATTTGCTAACTAGTTTTTCTACTCGACTGTCATTGGATACGCTACCAATTTCTTATTCAGAATAGCTAGTTGGTTGCAGGAAGTCGGCAGAGAACTCTGCTCAAACCAGGTTTCATGCTTGTTGGTATTCGTCTGCAAGGAGTATTCGTAACATCGAGGGAAGTGACGTCCTCTCAGACATTCGAACCTACGCCAGCCAACAATGAAGTCAGCAACGTTACCACTGAGCTATTCAGTCTTCCTACCAATTACCTCCATCTAATTAAGATCTATCCAAGTGTACTGCTATGCTCAGCCTTCTAGCTTGGTGGTCACACTCGAAAATGATCAATAGAATTCGGTTAGCACTTAGAATTAGACAATTTGAGATTGGTTGATCTCCAGTAACCAATCAGTTAAAATTCAAATGCGCAGAAAATTAATGCATTTTTCTCCTTTCTTATTGACTAGGAAAAGTGATCTGACGCATATATTCCTCTGATACAACGTGGAAAGAATTAGGGCTCCAAGTTTAAGTTCTTTGAAGACAACTAATTCCGTGATATCCGCTGACGAAATCATACTGATGGTTAATAAATATCTAAATGATATACCAATAAAAATCAATAAATCTATCAATTCCATTATCAATTAGACTATCTGAGACTGGTACCGGGTGATGATTAAGGGTGAAATGAAAACCGGTAACATGGAGACCAATGCATCGAATCGTACAGTGACCCAGGTTTTCATTACACCTTCAAACATAACCCAGTATCAATTATTCTGTCGTGCAGAATGTAGTTTCTCCAAGAAAACATTGATTACTGGAACAATGAACAATTGATACCTTTCGTTTCAGCTATGACTCATGAAACTAACCACTTGACCTTCAAAACTTGTTTTGCCTAAGGTGGTTTGAGTAGTCAGGTAGTTTCAATTTTTTAAAACATGTTTAACACATTGCCTACTATACGGATATCTACGTCATTTTTTGACTTGTTTGCATGAATTCCAGTCTCTATCTCAACCAAAAGCAGAAAAAGTCAAAAGATTATCTAAGGACACCGGAGGAGATTGAAATTGGCACATACCCTTTGTCTATACATTCTCGTATGTACAACATCTTTGCCCAAATCGATAAGAAATAGCCTACTGTAACCTACATAAGCCAATAACAAGTAAGCAACGTCCAAGACGATAGGAATCAAAGCAATAATAGTATACGGTCATTTTGAAGTGATAAACTTGAAATCCAGCTTCAACAAGTACAATTAAATAACGAGACAACAAGCATTTACTCATTATTAAATCTGTTAATTTGAAGATGAAGCTTATGAAAATTCGATGAAAAATGTATAACAAATTCCAGTAAATCAAACAGATTTGAGTACACTGAAAACTAGAAATATCTGCCACTGAGCACTATAGAATATCACTCTACTAACGATCTTTATTATTATTTTTCCATTGGGTTTCTAGTGGAACATACGACTTTTGTAGCATGTCTCCATTGCACTCTGTTCTCTGCAGTCCTTTGAACCTGGCTCCACCACTACCCACAAGCTTCCATTTCTTCCTCACATGATCTCCTCCATGTCACCCTCACCTCAGACACCCAACTCGTCGTTTCCCATTTGACTTCCACTCGACGGCCTGGCCTGGCACGTCATGTCCCCAGTTGGCCTTCTCAGTTTACTCCCAATCCGTCTCCACTTCCTTCTGCATATTTGTTGGGTGATAGGTTATGGGTTGGTTCCTTCTCAGAGTTCCTTGTTGCTTATTCTTTCTGGCCATCTGATCTTCAGTATCGAGTGAGCGTAGGTGGCAGTTTTTGTTGAATGTCTGTAGCTTGTTGGCAGTAATTTTCGTGACACGCCATTTTTCTGAACCATATAGCAGGACTGACTTGACTGAACTGGTGTTGAAAATCCGAATCTTGTTCCTTGTGCTGAGTACAGTAGATCTCCAGACTGGTTTCAGGTTAATGAACGCCTGTCTTGCTTTTCCGATCCTGGTTTTGACATCCTCGTCTGTGCCTGTGCCACCTGTAGTTGAAAGGATGCTGCCAATGTGGGTAGATGAAAGAGACTACTTCCTTTAGGTTTCTCCTGTTATTGGTGATTGGTGCTTGTTGTTGATGTTGTTTTTGGTTGTCTATTTTCATCACCTCCATGTTCTCTACATTCACCTGAAGTCCCATTTTCACTGCTCTGCCTCATCTCTTCTGTTAACCTGTTAGCTTTCGCCTGTAGATCTTCGAGTTTGTGCAACAAGACAGTAGACATAAATCATCACCGTTGGCGAAATCCAAATCTCTTAAGGTTTTTTCATCGGTCCACCCAACGTATGCCCATCTCATTCTTCACAGTCTGCCGCATGATCCAGTCAGGTAGACCATGGGTGACAGAAGGCAGCCTAGTCTTACTCCTGTCTTCACTTCAAAGGCGTCACTGAGCTGGGTCTCCCATTGTGAATTACTTAGCATGTGGCTTTTTCATTTAGCTGTTGAATGAGGTTGATTAAGATTTGTGGCACTCCGTAGTGTCGAAGCAGCTGCCTGCCAAATTACTTCTCACTCTACTAACTAACTACAATATCAATAGCTTTATTGATTGATTGTCGAATGTTTTTTCCAAACTACGTAGAATAAAAACATTCCTGATATTGTGTGATAATTGAAGGTGAAATGAAATTTTGGACAGCAACCGGGCTCGAACCAGCGACCACTGGGTTTCCGCCTCAATGCTCTAACAACTGAACTAGGAGGCCTCACTGCTAACCAGATTCTGCTTCAATCACAAAGGGTTTCGCCTGACTATCATGTGAATTCATGATGTATTACCTTCACTTGACCGCAATTACACTGGTTGCCTAGTCAGGACTTCTCATCCAAATCTAACTGAATTAGTGAGGGGGGACATCATACTGACTTTCATTTTGACTATCTGAGAGAGATAACCGTGGTTTGGTAAACTAGTATTGATACTGGGTGATGATTGAAAGTAAAATGAAAATTTGGACTGCCGTCGGATTCGAACCAGCGACCACTGGGTTTCTGGCCTGACACATTTGTAATTAAATAATTTTAATCCTTTATTTTACGAACCCTAACTAAACACTAGGTAATCTTCGATAAATCGCCATGGTTTGACAAATAAAAAGGCAAACACTCCCAGCTACTTTTTTAGGCATACAGTTACTAAATTGTATCAAAATTAAATTAGTAAATAAGAAAGTAAATTTAATGTGAACTAAATTCTAAAATTATCTGACTATTCAAAGGAATGACGCATAGTTTTATTGATTTTTTTTATTGATTAACAGGC